CTGCAGTGTGTGGCGGTAACATAAAGGTTTGAAATTATGCCCATTAATTTTCAGCACGCTTTCCATTGCTATGACACCATACCTTCATTCAAAGATAGGCACTTTTCCAAACATGATGATAACCTTGAGTCCTGAAAATCGAGAGGAAAATATTTAATTTCTTGTCAAACAAGGTGAAGTGACTGGCATAAAATTAGCAAGTGAAATAACGAACAAACACAGGTGACACGATGCAGCTAAGGCCTCTGAATTTTGTTAGGATAGAGCTACAGCCAAAGAAAATGAGACGGAAAAGAACCCCAGCCGATTGTAAGCGTGGACAAGGACGAACTAGGCCGAGGAAGACATCCCGGCCAGGATCATTTTTTAGTTTTTTTCTTCGTCCGTAAAGTTCCGTGCCTTTTTTTTCAATTTGCATCATCTTGCGATCTGAATAATTGTTATTGAGTTTCAGGGCGTCCTATGTCTTGAAAGAACTTGATACGACTTCTATATACACGGTAAAGAGTGTTTATCCTGTCGTCTCGTATTTACACGGCACCCTATTAGACTTGTTATGTACCTCGTAATTTGAGTATCCTCGATGCGAATAATATCAGGAATTAGTGCCCTTCCTTTAACCTCGTTACAGAAAAGGTCCCAAAAAAAGCTATGACATTCTATCAGTTTTAGATGAGAAGGGACCATTCACTGCTGTAAACACTGAACGATGTCAGAGAAGGGCCAATAAAAAAATCAGTTAGATTTTCTCATATCAGTTAAGCCTTCTGTAACAAGCTGGTGCGGGTAAAACCGACGTGATAAATCAGTTTAATTCAGCTATGTCTGTTATGTGTTGAAACGCCGTATATAAATACATAATATAAAAAAATAAAAAAAAAACACCGGGGAAAGCCCAACTTCCTTTAAAAAACCAATAATGTGAATGATTAACGTAGAATTGTCTCTAAAACCGACTGCAAAATTCTAATTGATCAAACTTGTAAATACGTATGTTCAAAGTCTTTCTTCCTTGTAATGTGGGTTCGTTTCGTGAAGCGCGCCCTTTGAAAATCAACTAATCGAGTCTTTACAATTCAAAGAAAATAAAAATGATAATATTGTACAAAATTTTCAAGAATCGATTTTCATTATTTGCCTTTTTTTAACATAGTGTCACCTGTGATGTCCACTGACTTCGTATCGAGAATTGAAAATTATTAATACCCACGCAAAATGATGAACCCCCTCAATTTAAAGAAAAAATCTTGGAGTGAAAAAACTTACGTGTTCATTCACCGAGGAAGGTTCCGTGGAAACTGAATCCTGACATCTTCGTTCACAATCGTTCAAGCCTCGGTTCGATTCTTCCTTGTGAAAATTAGCGAAGCATTGCGCCCGCGTAATAAAGTAAACCCAAACAACGCTTACCAAAACAGAACGAAAATTTAAGCGCAACATGTTGGATACTTAAGCAAGATTTGCGGATGCCCAGCACTGTTGCAGATCTTCCCACAAAGCGGAGTCTTAATTACACAAACTAGAGGAAGTTTTAAGACTAGATACTAACCGCGTCAGCGTTCCAAGTTATTCAACGCTCGATAAATAAGATTACCATTTATTTTGACACAGGAAGTCGTAACTACATCTTAATGTTATGCGGAACTTCAACTTTCTGTCTGCTTTTCATAGTGATAATAGCACGTTTTTGACAGGCCAGAGTGACCTATGGAGGATCAGCACTGCGCTTAAACATGCTTTGAGTTGATCAAAGAGATGATTTTGTCTCAGCAATCTGGGTTGTTTTGTAATCAACTTCGCTCTTCCTGTTTATCTTATTCTGGCGTGTTATCTGAAGCTTATGAAAGACGAGTTTTCGATGGCAAAGCCAAGTAAAGGCGAAATTTCCCCGAAAGCAGGTTTATTTCACGGGCTTAAGAGAGGGGAGCAAGGGAATGGAGCAGTTGGGGGCGAGGATTGAAAAAGTGACAGAGAGGAGAAGCTTTTCAATAACAAGCATTACGGTTTTCAGTCCTTCATTGATATTTGACCCCACATAACCGATGGGTATATCTACTAAGTGGTCGAGTTTTCCAATGAAAGTGATACTGTGGCTTTTGATTTCTCTGAGCCAAAAGCTATCGCCATAAGCTTTCTCAAATACTCGTTTCAGTTTCTTCACTTATGTTTAAACTTTCACGGGTTGAGAGTGATCACATATTGTGCAGCACACTAACCCACCGTGAAGAAAATCAAATTCTCTGTTGTCACGCATCACATCGCCTTTGTCAAGAAGCGACAATTTGCGGCTGCGGATAGCGCTAGGATTGAATCAAAACGAACTCCTCTAGAACGAGTTTGACGCGATGATTGTTTATGGAAGACAGCCATTATTAGACAAAAGCGCGCGGGGGAGGGGGGGGGGTCCACGCGGTATCCTTGCTCACTCGCTGCGATGGCAATAGATAGATGTGCATCGTAATTACAAAAAATCCGTCGTGTCTCTTTCATTTCCTTTATCTATGCCGGTTCGACTTTTTAATACTCCTAAGTCATAAAAATATAAGATAGAAACGTCAATTGAAAGGCCATAATTAATATTTCTGCACAAACCTGTTTCACTTCTAGGGGGGGGGGGGGGGGGAAGAAACATTTCATATTTAGGCTCAACAAAGACATTCTAAACATGGTGAGGTTTATTTTTGAGAGCTTGAATCTTCGTCAGGATGTACAGCGTATTCAGTGTCTTTTACAAGGTATCTCTATATGTAAGCCTATAGTCTTAATTACAAGGTCAACATGTGTGGCACCATCAATTTTAAAATCTAAACTATACCGTCAGAAGACGCAGATCAGAGCGCTACATAGTCGACAAACCATATGCATCGCACTTGTTCGAGAGATAGAGGGATTCTGTTTAAAATTCAAAGTTTCCTCCATCCCTACTTGCGGCTAAAAGCCTCACCCACCCCGGCCCGTGTTATTAATACTACACGTGATTTCCCCCCCTCCCCACTCATACCCAGCCCAAGGGGTTTTTACTACACAGGAACCGCTTCAGATCATCGTCAAACATATCCACGTTGGTATCAAAATTACATTGAAATACTGATTAGTGTTGCGGAAGCTTTCGGAGACTTTACGACCAGTATTTCAACAAAGAATTTTCCTTTCATAAAACATGCAGCTGAACAAATAAGACTTCCTGACTACAGGATTCTTTCAATCAGTGTTTTCGTTTGTCAGTTTCGTACCCTTTCCAAGAAAGGCAAACAGGTGTTTTAAAACACACGCTTGAAAAAAATGATATGTATTACCTTTTTTTTAATTTCACCTTTATGTATATCTTGCGTGGTTTTACTCCTCAGCAGTTAGTAAAAACTGCGTCAAACTTGTTATTAATTCATCAAAAGATTAATTTTGGCAAATAAAACAAACTGCGGCGCTTTGATGAAGGATTATTCGAGAAAGAAGTTGCTATAGTGTAGCACAGCTGTGTGTTTATCGATTTATAAATCAGTGAAAAATAAAATGAAGACAGATAACGAAACCTGCTTATTTGTCTGGTGAGTCCGTCGTACGAGTGGACTTCTTTTTTTAACGAATTCACAGGTAGCCCAAGCTCGCAAATGAGCCTCGGTAAATACGCAAATTTATGGAGTTTCGTTTCGCGAGCTGGCCTTCCTGTGGCTAAATCAGCCAAATTCTTCGGAAAGAATTTACCGTTTTGAGCCAGGCAAAACAGAAAATAAAAAACACCAGAACGACAGTTTCTTACTTTCGTAAAAAGAGTTTATTGAAATAAATTGATGTGCTAGATCGTTGCTCTGTCTGTTCTCTTAGCTGGAATCGCGTACATCTCTAATGAAGAGATCAGACATGAACCGAAATATCACTTCCTTCTAGGTAAACGAGACGCTCTGTAGCTACAAGGTTTTCCTTTATGCAAATTCGCGTCCATAGCTCTAATTAGGCACTTCAAACAGGATAAAAACAAAAACAGGCCATTGTTAAGATTAATTAAAGCGCCGTCTGAGTGGATCTTTTAAGTTGAGAGCAGGCGATATTTTGGATAATTGAAACAATTTTTTTTTAAACATCAGGGAGAAACAACTTCGCTCTTAGGTAACAAAGGCAGGTCTGATTTTTTTTCACGAGTTCAAATTTTGAATTCATAATTCATAGAATTCTTGAAAATATTTTTGTCGCGAACTTCCATATTCTTTTGGTCATCGCCAAACCCTCAACTCCCACTCTGTCGACGAACTCAAGCGGTGTGGTCTCTAGAGACAACGAATGCGGGGAAGGAGGGGAGGGGGGTGCGAAGAAGACTAATTCTTCCTTAGGACATATGTTCCACCCCTAATGTATGGATTTCAGGGTGTGGATTCATAAACAAGAGTATACCATTTTACAATGGGTCCCAACCAATGTACCTTTACTTGTACACAAAAAAATTTATTGAATAGAATTAAGAATTTTCCATTTCTTGGCATACATACTTACAAGTATCCCCATAGATTCTTCCAAATAAAGACTAAAGAATCCATCAGATAATCCTAGAATCCAAGAATTTAAATACATCCATAGGAGAGAAACACTTGCATGTAGGAATACCTGCTAGAGGAATGCTTCCCCTTAAAAATTAATGTTTTTGTGGTCAAATTAATCTTTGGTTGAAATTTTCATTTTTCTCTTTAAAATGGCCATGCTAATAGAGAACAATAAGTTTCTAAGAAAGAAAAGTAAAGTTCAACCCAAGAATAAAATTTAGTGACAAAATTAGTACAAATTTTTACTTTGTTTTTGCTCATGTGTATTGAGCATTTGCTACAATTTCCCACAATTAAGCAAAATGATAAAACTTTTACAAGAGCATCAAGAAGTAACTGAGTAAAGACTGCCTGCATCAGTTCTGCAAAGAACAACAAGTAAGATTCTTCACAAGACCAGTCTGAATTTCACAAGAACCCACAATGCAAGTTACAGTTCGACTGAGTCATAGCAAACCATATGGTAAGTACAATATGTGCAGGAATATTTATTATGGTCTATTTTGCAGGAAAAAGTTGTTTCCTTCCATGATACAAAATGAAGAGGAGCCACAAAACAGAACTGATGGGGAACTTAGCAAATTAAGTTGCTATGAAGTCCAAAACTCATTTTCCCTAATATAGCACTTCTGATAGTAGATGGGTTTCTTCCAGTGCAGTTCTGCCAGAAAATGGCCTGGATATATTGAGATCTCGGTGATTTACACCATTGAGTTGCTTCCATCTCCTGCTAATTTACCCACTATCTGAAAATTTAAATATAAAAACATCACATTACAGAATGTTAGGTATAATTTGTTCTGGTGGTGATTTCATTCAATTACTGTATATTTATATCTAACTAAATTCTGAAGTGTTTGTTTACTTCATGTACTATTTTTTTCATTGGAGTCAAAAATATGTGACTACTGTCCAGAGCAGGTGAAACATTAGCCTGTTCCAGGCATTCATTTGGTAAAACAGAGCAAAATAGTAGATGGCATGATACCAGAGGATGGAGTGAAAAAAGCAGGAGGCTTGCATAAAGGAAAGAGGTTTGAGTTGGGTCACCCAAACCTGTTACTTTTTCCAACCCATCTGCTTCTATAGTTAGTTACTATTTCACTCCCTATACTAACAGAATGCCTGCAACAGGCTGGTGAAACATATGAAAAGCTGCAAAATCAAAAACTATCTAATTGTACCTGGCCTGAGAGTAAAGAATTTTCCTTAATCAATTTGAAGCCAGGTAAGAAAGAGAGGAAAATGGAACATTTTTATTCAAAAGATTATCTTTAAATTCAGCTATTTTTTTTAATACATATCTCCAAAAAATTTTCTATTATTTTGCCAAACTAAGACAGCAGTTTAGTTTGCAAAAGTTCTTCTTTCAGAGAGTCATATCTCAATGGTGGATGATTGGAACAGCGTTCAAAATTTCACAGTTCTCTTTTCTTTAATCCTTTAACTCCCATGAGTGACCAAAACAGAATTTCTCCTTACAATATCAATACAATATCAACCAGACAAGTGATGAGAATAAAGAAAAATATCAATTTGGGAATAATTAGTTGATCCAATACTAAATTCTCTGAACTAACATTATGAGAACTATATGGTTAACAGTAAGAGGAATGACAAATTCGATCTGAGAGTTAAAGGGTTAAGCTTTGAACATTAATCACCCATGGATTTGAAAAGCAACTAAAAAAAACCAGTTTTTAGGATTCTATCTATTATATCAGTGGAATTAATTAATGACATGCTTTGCTCTCATTGACCACACAAATGGTCTACTTTAACTACTTCTTTCCAAAACAAAACAATGCAAAATGTTAGCACAAATAGTTTAAAAATTATAATTTTTCAGGCAGCTTTTTTCCTACTGTCACTTTAACCCTTCATTCCCATGATCTCATCAGTAATTCTCCTTACCATCTACCAAGCTACCATGTAATTCTTATGTTAGTTTGGAAAATTTTCTATTGGATCAACTTATTATTCCCAAATTGATATTTTTCTATATTCTCATCACTTGTCTGGTTGATATTGTATTGGTATTGTAAGGAGAAATTCTGCCTTGGTCACTTATGGGAGTTAAAGGTTTGAAATTGCAAAAAAGGAACTTGGCTAATAAAAAGCCATACTACCTTTCACCCTTTAACTCCCATGAGTGACCAAGACAGAATTTCTCCTTACAATATCAAGACAATGTCAACCAGGTAAGTGACGAGAATAAAGAAAAATATCAATTTGGGGATAATAAGTGGATCGAATACTAACTTCTCTGAACTAACAATATAAGAATTTTATGGTTGACATTTAGGAGAAGTACAAATTTGATCTGGGAGTTAAAGGGTTAAGCTTGCACAATAAATTTATGAAAAATGTAAAGCCTACAAACCATGCTAATTCCTGGGAGGTTGAGTATATTCCCAATGACAGGTACTCTTCTTAAAAAGTTTATAACAACTGGAAAGAAGCCACTGAAAATGACAACAGTAATTACTTCAGTGCTAATTAAACAAAAAAATGTGTGCCTCCACCACACTTTTTCAACTGAAAAATTCAGATATGTGTATACAGCAAGCTGCATGTTAATTAAAAACCTCTTTTCAAGAAATGAGTGTGGCGCAGCATTCCTCCCCACAAGGACCCTCTGTGGGAGAATCCTTACCCCTTAGGAAGATTTAATACTGACCTGGAGAAACCATGAGAAATTGAACCTGTGTAATACATGCTATAGATACCTCTTACTAACCAAGTGAGGGGCCAGCACTGTAAGGTATGAACTGATAAATAGAGAATAATACATGGGCACACGTGGATATGGAATTTCTCTTTAAGTGTTTAACTTGATAGTTCACGAGAAAGATGTTGAGTTGAACAAGAGAAGAGAAATTTAATATCTACAAGCAACCAGGTATTATTTTGTTTATCATATAAACACAATAGCCCTTCACTGACAAGAAAAGTCAACTTTATCAATGAATAAAAATAAAAGGATTGACAATCCCTGAATAAAAATGGTAAAGTGTGTTGATGATGCAGCTCAAGATGAAAAAATGAGTTGAAACACTACAAAAACAAACAGTGCATGTAATTTTCAAAACACAAAATTCTTAGTCACTGACAGGAGAAATCTTTAAGGTACATGGCTAAAATCGGCCTACAGCAAATCTTCCAGTTGTTGATTTTTGTTCTAGGCTGGGAGAAATGCCATTACCAAAGCCACTTGATACATAACTTTTGGTTTTTTCTATACGTATTTTGGTTTTCTTCCCCTTCAAGGAAAGTTTGAACATCACTGTCAGTGAGCGATATGGATTTTTTCAGTGTTTTAGCGGTTATACCATGATTTCTGTCCATTTACCTGCGTGGCAGATTACCTACATTGGTCAATTTTTGCAATAACTAGAAAAAATTTCAACAGATAACCTGCACCTAAAAACAAAAGAAAATCACCAATTCACACAAAGTTCCTCATTGTTTTTGTTGACATGATATTCTTTAGCATGCGCTTAATAAATTTTCACACTTTTTGTCTTCGCTGTTTTATTGGGAATGATACCAATTGTAAAAATCTGTTCTCAAAAAAATCGATATCATGAGATCTACTGAGTTGGAGAAATCGCTTGACACAGGAAAATACTCTTTACTTCAAGGCAGTGCTAGCTAAGAAAATTTCTCTGATGCATAGAATATTTTGTTACACTAATTAATTATGCAGCACCACAAAATGAACATATCGGCATCATTTTCTGTGTGAATTGGCCTGAAGCCAGTCTTTTCATGGTTGTTGAATTCTTTTATTTTCAAGTTCACTTCCCATGTAAGTGAGAATTGTTTTTTTGAACTAAACAAAGAAACAAGCTGTGAAATTGACAAGGTAAGAAAGTAAGAGTATGAACAAGATAAAAGCTATGTTATCAAGTTTTGTATGTTTTTTGATTTGCATTGGCTTTCATTGAGGGCAATAAAGTCTCTTATTATAATGAGCAATCTGTGTGAAATAAACGAGTTGTTGCACAAGGTTTTCGAAGAGAATCTGTAGTGGATTTTATCACCTGTTTTTTTCCTGTTTATTGTTTTTAACTACACTGGAAACTTTAAAAATTATTGTATTACCTGCACCTTCCTATAACCCACACCAACAACTGTTTGTGGAAAAATTAACAGATTACCAGCAGGTTATTGGCTGGAAATTACAGTAATCTGAAAAAATTCCCACAAACAACCTTGGATTGAGAATGGTGAAGGCTTCACCATTCATTCCAACCTGACCAAGTGGTGCAAAAGGTGAGTGACGTGTTAGCAGCTGATTGGTGATATCATGCATACATGAAAAAATATGATATTTTTTCATGCGTTGTTATGGCTTTTCTCAGGGCTGGAAATCCTTGTATAACACCATAGTTTACGTGATGAAATGAGGTTACTGAGATATTTGTGATATTTCTGGGCTCAAATAGAGGACAGAGACTTCAATTCAAACAAACCTTTGAATTCGACAGGCCATACAGTGAAATATAATGCTTATTGACTGAGTTTGGTCTGGCTGAATGGGAAAATACTTGGCTTGAGATCATGATATGCGAACCTGGGCTCAGTCTGTCTGTCATGACCTCAAGCCAGATATTTTCCTGTTTTACCCTCATACCCAGTCAATAAGTACATATTCTTGCATAATTGAACTACAACTTACCTAAACAAAAGTATAAATCCATAAATTTCTATGATCATTCCTATAAGAGGCCAACCAATGAGAACAACTAAAACTCCACCAAGAAAACAAGAACTTCCCTTGAGCTTGTGTTTTTGAAAGAAAAATCTAAAAGTTCTTTCTAATCCAATTACCAGTGCTAATCCAGAAATGAATAGTATCTGTAACAGATAAGACAAAAAAAAATCCAACTGAAACACCATTACTGAGTAAACTCTTATCTTCATCCTCTGACCCCTATGAGTGACTAGCATCTAATTTCTCCTCACAATATCACCCCTGAATCACACATTAAGGTCAGGAGAAAAAAGGAAATGATCATGATCTGAAGAAGCTCTTGACTGTTAAACAAATTCTCCTTGGAGCACCTAAGGAAATGTATAGAGAACAGTATGGAGAATAAAGATACTGATGTTAGGACGCAAAGGGTTAAAAGTGTAAACACTTATGAGCTGCAGAGAAATTTGTCTGGCCTAGCTTTTTAATGTAGGGAGAATAGTTACATCGTATCTTTGGTTTCACATCAATGGATTCGTTATCAATCAATAAGCACCTGGCAATTAGTTCTCATCTAATTGAAAATGATCAATTATGATGACATTCTGAACTGCTGAACAGTATCCACAGACGTTTGTGTGTAATATCTCAAATGACAAGAGCCCAATATATTTGATTATGAACATGCTTAGCACCGGTAGAAATACATTGCAAGAGATCTAAACGCTCTCCAATTTTCGCTGATGCTTTAAAAATTTAAGCAGGAAGGTGTTAGATACTTACATTTCCAATAGCTAAAAGACCTTTGTCGAAAAAGAACAAAACTCCCAGAAAGAGAAAAAATACTCCAAAGCCTGTCACACCAATGCCGATTTCTAAAAATCAATTTTCAAACAGAAAAATATCAAAGACACAGATTTCATGTGAAGTGTTGAAATGAAAAAGGGGTTCTTACTTTGATAATCTGTAATAGGCAACATTTCCCAAGGTTATACGTTATGTTTGTTATCTCTATCTACCGTACTACAACTCATTTAGATCTATGACCGGAAAGCCACGTTGAATATTATCACTACGCATGCTTCATTCTAACCGCTGGTCAAATAAACTGCACAGTCAGCAGTTCATAGTTCATCAAGGAAAATATAAAGGATACGGGCACGCAATGTCACGGCAGAAGTTTACTTGGACAGCAGCGTATGCGTTAGTGTTGGCGGGAAACCTTGTTTGTTTTACAGAGGCAAATCGGCTGAAAATTTTTTTCTGATCTTGAATTAGAACGATCAGCCAACATTAAGAGTATGTAGTTGTGCTTGGCAAAGGCAGATTTCACGGAGAATTGTTCTTACTGAACATTACACACATACCACCGGCATATTTCGCCGAGTCCATTCAAGCACTTGGTTTTTACGTGGGAGGCGAATTGTGGCGTCCTGTTTGTTTTCGGCAAGAATTTTCTGGCGGTGTTTGTTGACCGCTAAGAAACGAAGCTAGTTTCGTTCATCGGTTTCAAATTCGATAGGTAGAAACAGAAGGGAAAGGAATCATCCTCGCGGTGCGTGTGTTATCTACTGTGAAGTCTCGTGAAACATGCGGAGAACTGGAAAAGCCAATGTCTTAACTGCCTTGATCGGCCGGGAAACAAACTTTCGAAGAACTCACGACCACGATTTGTTAGCATCGTACGCCGAAGATGCCTCTGTGATGTCCTGTAATCGAACAAAGGTACGATTTTAGCTCTTGTCATTTTACCGGTCAATGTTTGTAGACTGGTGTTACTGTTGTTGTTTTCATGTCGATTTTCAAGTTCCCTTGAGATTGTGTGACCTTTTTGAACTAAAATTAATCGCTTCAAGATAATTCGTAATATTATTTTATTTTGATCGTGGAGAGGGGTTTTTCAGTATGTTTCTATCATAAACCGCAATTTTACGAAAATTTCCTGTCTTTTTCGTTGATTTCCTATACCATGACGACATTTGTATCTATCACCAGGACACAATAAGCCAAACTTCGTCCGGTTCGGTATCTTCGTTTCTCGCCATGAAGTGGGTGTTAAAGAAGGCATATGTTTCCTACTGTTTAGTTTTCCACTCGACTATATGTCTTCCTTTCATGAAAATTCCTAATCTCGGGCCATTGTGTTCCTCTTAATCGCCTCTGTTTTGTCAATGTCAAGTTCAGATGATTGACGTGCCATTAGCCTCTTGTATCGCCCCAAGTTCACTCCAGTTCATGACCGAAATCTACATTGTTTTTTTTTTCTCAAAATGGACAACAATCTTTTATATTAATATATTTCTCACACACTGCTACCTGAGTATCTTTCATGACCTATATATTTCTGAAGACAGAGCAGATTTTTACTGAAACCTTTCTTTCTTTTTTTTTTTTCAATTCGTGCACGTAACCACGAGCTTATTGCGTAGTGACCTTGACAAACCTGACGAAAGTAAAAACAACAGTAGTTTGGTCTCTGTTTTGACGAGAGACAATTCCTATCTCTCATTAAGAATTCAGAATTACCCGATTTGTAACGTGGTTGGTGGAAATTCTTATGTAGCTCTTGAAAACACAAGTAGATTTGTCTTGACCTTCGCGGCGCGGCGACCAACCCTGATATACTTCCGGTTTTAAAGAAGGTTTCGATTGTGTTATTGTACAAAGGTATTCGCATCAATCAAAAGCAGTCTCATTTTTTGGCCGTAGTTTTAATTGAAACTTTGTAGTCCAGGTTTTATTTACTATGTCAGGGTGTGGTTCATGGACTTGACCTTGCTCGTTTTTGTTGTACAAGCAAGCCATCAATACGATGCAAATACGCATGTTATGAAAGGAAATTATATTTACTAGTCAGAAGGTGTATTTGAGATCTGAAAATTAAACTTGTTACCATCTGGTGTGATTCAATACGAAATACGAAGACAGACTAAACTTGCACAATTGTACTTTGAGTTTGTTTTACATATCAATCAGGAGATGGCTTCTCAATTAAAACTGAAAACCATTTGAACGTAGGGCAGATAGTAATGGGAAGGAAAAGCTTAAATCACTAAATTAATAAAATTAATGTCCAGTGATATTGCTGTTTTCCAATTTGATATGCTTTCTGATAATTTTTGTCTCTGACATTGGCAGTGGCAGTGCCAATGACCTTGAACTTGGGCAACTTATATTAAACCAAAATATAACCATACTGTGGGTGATATTTTTTTGTCACAATTAAAACTTGGCTTTCAATATAATCTGTCAAACATGAATTTAAGATAAACCATAAGTAAAAACTTTGTGAGTTACTGTATTTTGCCTTAATATACATAGTAATCATTTGAGGCTCACCTCCAACCAGTGATTTTTTTATTTTTTTATTTTTTATTTCTCTTCTCTGAAAGATGTTATGTACACACTAGTGAAGACATTAAAAGTAACAATGTCAACTTGAAAATTAAATTTGGCTATAAACTTTTCTGGATAGTTCTGTCAGTATTTGATTAGAAAAAATTCATAATAAGTGAGAAAGTTATTTAAATCACAGTTGCCCCCTATCTTGCTTAAATTTTGAAATTAAGTTTAATTTTTTTTTTTTTAAGTTATGTGCGATGTAACATTTTACTTAGAATATACTGTGCAGACAAGATGGACTTGCTGTCTTTGACACAAGACCAGTATTTAACTTCTATAGTACATGTAAGCTATCTCATTATCCATAACAATTGAAATAAGCTGACATCCCATCCTGTTCTGAAAACATTAAGGGTGACTTACTTACCAAACAAATAATAGAAGTGATGTATAGCATGTGTATTTCACGTGACAGATAACGTCGTGAATTTTTTCAAGACCTGTCTGTGCCACTGTAGTCTTGAAATTATGTGACAAAAGCACATAATATTTTATTATTTTTACTGCTTTTACAAAGAAATGATTTAACTACAAATGTTATTATCTTATAGAACTTGGGTGATGTAGATTTTATCTGATCTGTATCAGTTTCCTGTAGTCGTGACTTCCTACCAAAATTTGATAAACCCCTTTGACTGCTGAGATTCAAAAATTAGATTTCCTTATTAAGGATTTTACATTCCTTGCTTAGTTCTGAGTATTTGGTGCCATATGGGAGTTAAAACATTCAGAAAGCTATGAATCTGACATATCCATTTGTATCTCAGATATGTGCCTTGATTTGATTTTCCATATAACTATCTCTAAATTTAAGAGAAAATGAAGTACAAGATTTAACCAAAAGAATAGTATATTTATAATTTTAAATGCCCGGGGAAGAAAAAGGTATTGCTTACCTTAATTTTCAGGCTGAAGATGTAAATAGAAAGTCAACATTTGTAAATCAAATTTTTCATCTTCATAAAGGCCAAATTGAAGCAGCGAGGGTTTTAAGGTTGGGTCCACTAATCTGAGCACTCACCTTTCAGAATTTGTTTCAAATCATCAATCTTTGATTAATTTTTGTGGAAATTTTGGAAGTTACCTGACATGTACAGTGGATATGATTCTATGACAGAGAGACCACTTCGAAAAAATTTCTATGAAAGGTAGTTATATAGCGTTTTTAATGTAATGCATGTATATGATTTTCATGATACTACCGTATTTATTAGAACCTGTAAAATTCCATGACGGTACACAATTTACAAATATAGATGTAATGAAGAAGTATCATAAAGAAGACTTTGAAACTGGGCTCCGCTAGATGTAAATTTGTTTGGTTGCGCAATGTAAATTTCTTTCAGTTTCATTTGTTCTTTTTCTACCTTGAATAGTTTTGCTTTGATCTAGAAAATACAGAAACACCATTCCTTCAAAAGCATTTTTATCTCTTCTGCGTAAACTACTTGATACAAGGTTTCATGAATTCTTGCCCTTAAATTACTGCTTTAATGTGCGTGATATCCAGTTCTTGTCATTGTTTAGAATTAAAACAACACGACATGCTTCATACCAATCTATTTTGGTTGCCAATTAAACAAAGAATGTAAATGCCTTTTTGTTTCTAGCCAGCCACCTACTGAATGTCTGAAATAGGCAATAGACTGTTCATGTTATTTTGGAAATAACAATAGTATTAGCTCTGTGACCTGCATGACAAGATGAGTTAAATTTAGCACTTGGTTTTGTTCCTAAATTTTGATGAAACCTATCAGCAGCAGGGATCAAAGACACCTTTATCATAAGGCCAAAAGAGAAACATGAATGTTTTATAACTTCTCATTGGGGGTAACCAGTTTCATGGTGTGATGAATAAATTTTTCCATTGGTAAATGTATAAATAGCACTCTTAATATTGGGTTTATGAGTGGTTTGCATATTTTAATCTGAGAATGTTCTCATTCAGTAGAGTTTAATGTTGCAAATGTCCTTGAATATACCAGGTACAATATATCTATATTTAAGTCATGGTCAAATGATTAAGACCAGTGAAAAGTTACTACTACAGAATCTTTGTTTGCAAAATTTTGTTGATATGAGTAGAGTCTTTTTAATCCTATCAGTTTTGCTTCACTTACCAAAATATGTTCCTCTAGGCTAGGATTTTAAAAATACCCAGTTATGCTATTTGTGGATAAATTTGATAATTATTCAATATGTGTTGTAGGGTTTCATTACTCGAAAGGAAAAAAAATCAATTTATTTTAATGAGATTTAAGGTGATTGTAGAAGAATTTAATAGATTGGGCAATCATGTGCACAGTTTGGCTTCTCCTCATGAATCAGAAAATAAGGGGATTAAATATTAATGTAATAAGTTATGCTACTTGAGATGAGTAATAACTGACATCTGTTCAAATAAGGCTTATACCGACTTCTTTTCACGTGATGCTATTGAACAATAACAGGAAATTTGCCAACATTCACACAAATTTCCTAAATCCCTAAGCATTAGGCTAATGTTGCATTGCCAAAGTCTATTTTTGCCTGTGTTCTTGTGTAAAAATCCAGAGTTTTCAAGTACGTAAATGCGCTTATAACATTTTAGGAAGCATGGCTAAATAGATGCTGCATGGCTTCTTTTTTGCAATCAAGGGACTGTCGCCATTTGTCTGAGTGCATTTGATGGTGACATTATGGTGTCATAATGCCATCTGTTTGTGATTTTGATCAATGTCCACATGTACATGAACAAATATAAGATCAAAGGAAGTGATCTAAGTGAGTCTGAACTAAAAAAGCCG